CTGAGCATTATAACCCCAATTTGCTATTGTGTGCTGCGCATTTTACTGAGGACAGCTTCCACAACACGAGTGAGTACAGTGCCGGATTCGCCAAAAAGTTTTTGTTAAAAGACGGCGCAAGGGGCGTGGCAGCACTGAAACACGTCTAAGCTGTTCGCCAATCACAACGCACTGGGACAGCTAACCAATCACAACACATTTTGTTTTTCGGAAGGCGGACCTTCATCAAAGCCGGAACTAATCGAGCCGTTTGTGCCAGGCTGGGGAGAAAGGTATTTTAATAATGTAAATTATGTGAAAAATAATGCGTTTTTCGAACCACCAAGCATGAGAGCATGTTCTAGTACACCCCCAAAACACAATCAAGACTTTGTAAAAGAGCATAATAGGACCCCTTTTAAAACATGCATTGAACTCTCTGTGCTTTTTTATTATTTTTAAATGAAAATGTCCATCTCACACAGACAATTCTGGGAATTAAGTTGCATTTAGGGAGGAAGGGGCTGGATATATATAGCTTGAGATCAGTCATTTGTTCCTACACTCACACTGATCAGATGAGTGGAGATGTGCACTAATCCAAAACAAACACTTCTTCACTGACCTAGTAGCATTTTAAGACCCCACACAGTAACCTGGTTCCCTAACCTACACAAAAACATCCATCCATCCATCCATCCATCGTCACCTCCTTTACAAAATGTTGATTTAATCAGAATTCAGTTTCGACACTATGATGGGCAGACTTGATTTTAGACATAGTTTTGAAGGGTTTGTGAACTGCAATTACTATAAATTATAATACTATATTTTTTAGGAGCTTGTCCTTTCTTTGAAGAGATATAAATGGCATGTGAAGAATCACATTCTGGTTTTGTTGCTGTATTTCTTGCATACTTAGACTATCATTCAAATGTTTGGGGTCTCTTCTGCTCACCATGGCTGCATTTATTTGGTCAAAAATACATTAAAAACAGCAATATTGTGAAATATTATTACAATTTTCAATGACTGTTTTCTGCTTTAGTATAATATAGTATAATATTTTAAAATGAAGGTAAAGCTGAATTTTCAGCATCATTACTCCAGTCTTCAGTGTCACATGATCCTTCAGAAATCATTATATGTATTATATATATAATATCAGCAATCTTAGACTAATAAAAAGTTTAAAAGGACAGTATTAATTTCTTTCAAATTAAAAAAAAATCCTAACCTAAACCTTTGAACAGAAGTGTATAAGGGTTTATTATAATCATAATAATATGGCAGGTATTTGTTAACACATTTGATGAAATTACATGAACACATTAACGCAGTATCGTCACAGTACAAATACGTTTCCTATTCACAGTGACAAACAGATGTGGAAAAACATCTGAAATATTTTTATACGGTTGAAAGAGGTTTTGTTCTTGTGTGTTTGACAGTGGGGTTCGTGCCATATTCTGCCATTTATAATTTGTCATTTCAGCCGTTATTTGGAAAATGTTTGAGTTGACGGAGAAACTGGATGATTAGTGAAGTCCAGCAGAAGTTGCCAAATTACTCCATCATTCTGATGTTAAGAAAATATTCTGCACAAGTCACTGATTGCTTCATCCTGATGCAGAAGCACATAAATCATTTCCTCTTAGAAGCGCCTTCTAACTCGCTCTTGGCTCTTGTGTGTCGCTTTGCTTTTTATTTGGAAGAAGTTGTGAAATAAAGCTAGTTTTTGGATGATATACTTTTATAATGTTCTCCGGAATGGAACAAATTATGGTGTCCTGCCATCTGTGACCAGGAGGAGGCGCCATTGTCTATACATTGCGCTTGTCTTAAAGTGTCTTAAAGGGACACTTCACCCAAAAATGAATGTTCTTTCCACAAATCATTGTTTTAGCTATCCAATTATATAACTTATATTTTTTGTAACATGTTATATTATAAAAAAAGTTTGTTTCAGTCCTCGAATTTGATTCTAAACGAGAGACTTGCAACAGTTGTTTCTGCGTCGTTTGAAACTAAATAGACAATAGACTAAATAGACATTTCTCTCAAAACCCTCTATAAATACAATGGTGTTAGTGAGTTGGGATAGTGAATGTGTTGCGGAGAAGCAGTAACTGTGCATCTCCAGCTACAGCATTGGGACCGCCTGTGTGGTTGTCATGGTAACCAGCAGGCGGAGCAGTCGAAGAGGAGATTCTCATGGAAGCACAGTGAGAGCGTCTGCCATCATAAAACACAACTCCACTTCACAAAAGTCTTAGTTCAACCTTTTATGGATGTAGAAACTGCGGTTCAGTTAGAAGGATGTTTAGAAAGGCTCTTGGGTTTCATATAAATAAGTTTACTGTAATTGGACTGTTGAAAGGGTGAAGTAGGCTAGATGTTGGATGATGAGTTGCTTGTAGAATATACAGGATGTTCTGTACATTTCTGCTGGAGACTGTGGAGGTAAGTAATAAGCTGCTTACCGACAGAAACAAGAATGAGATCCTTGCCGAGACATTGCTGTGATGTTCTAGTCATTTCTAGTGCGCTGATATGCAGATAAAGGGTGTTCTGGGTGGTTATTAGGGTGTCAAATAAGCCCGACCTCAAAATATGACTCTGGTCGCTCTTTTGCTGGCATGTTTTTCACTCATTTTTTATTGAGTCTGATCAATTCGAATAGTAATAACGTACATCTCAACAAACTACACATATTGGCTGATTTTTTGTAAATTCATCAGTAGCCGGCAAAAATTGTTGTTATTGTTCATTTAAGTACCGTATTAAAAATAGTTTTGTTAATTGAAATGAAGCTGAAATTGAATATTATATGAAACATGAATAGTATATAGAAAAGCTTAACCTTATATGAAAATGAGAAATGGCAACTAACTATAAAAATAAATAAACAGAGTTTAAGTTTAACTACTAAATGTATGAATTATTAAAACTGAAATAAAGCAAAATATAAATATTTAAAAAAGACAAAATTACTGAAATTTCAAATGAAACCTGAAAATATACAAATAAAAGCTAATTTAATACTGATAAATACTATAATAATACTAAAATAACACTGGTCAATATTTTGACCAGTGCTTACTCATATTGCATACTCATTTTTACCTCATAATTTTACATTTAGATTATCTTTGCAGTTATCTAATGTTCACCTTAAGTTAATCTTCAAAAACATTGATTATGTATTAACACTAATTAATGTAATTTGTGGCAAATCTCAAAATTAATATCCATTTGTTATACAATGTGGTGATGCTTAAATTTACTTTTAGAATTTTAAAATTATTGATTTTAGTTTTTAGTGTTTTATTTTAAAGGTAACACCATACAATAAGGTCCCATTAGTTAACATTATTTAATGCATTATCTAACATTAACTAACAATTTGTTACAGTATTTATTAATCATTGTTAACATTATTAAACTGTTCATTTTTAGTTTATGTTAGCTTAGGTCCATCAAATAATATTAACAGATGTTAACAACAATATGAACATTAACTAAGATTACTAAATGCTTTTTTTTCATTCATAGTTCATATTAACTAACAAATGGAGCCTTATTGTGAAGTGGGTAACAATTTAAAGAAACACTATTCTCTATAAACTAGTTGCTATTATCATGCATATTACTAGCATATTGGCTGTTTATTAGTACTTAATAAGCATATATTAATGCAGAACCATATTCTAGATCTCTTAACCCTGCTCCATACCTAACTACTACAACAGCTACCTTACTTAATATCAGTAAGCAGAGAATTAGGAGTTTATTATTAGGGAAAACTCTTATTTAATAGAGAATATGTGCTCCTTAATCTGCCCTGAAGTGTTACCACCAAAATAATGTAGAGTTTTAATATATGCCGTTTATCGGTTATCAGCCGTGAGATGGAGATAATTATTGAGAATCCAGTGAGAAATGATCAGTGATGAGACATTTAATGTGTAGGTGTCTGACTGTTCTTGCAGAGCTTCAGCTCCACTGACACAGCAGAAATACACTGAGAGAGAGGAGGAGTGTGTGTGTCGTCACTGTGAATGAGTTCCTCCCCTCCGTCCTCAAACACACTCAGACCTTCCAGTCCAGCAAACCTCCTCTCTCTCTCTCACACACACACACACACACAGCTGCAAACGAACGACTGTAATCCACTGATCTGCTCTCCACAGCAGCGTATCCAGAGCGGGAGCAAAGAGAACCAAATCCGAACCGCTCTCATGCAGTGCTATATTCTTCCTCTCCTCCTCATCCTCGGGGTGAGGGACGGACTCGGGTCCCCTCTGACATCGAGCCCCGGCACTACCGAGGCCCCCAGCGCGCCGCCGGACCCCTGCGAGGGCAGACCCTGCCTGAACGGGGGCGCCTGTAGTCGTGTGGGAGAGATGGAGGAGAGTCAGAGCACACAGATGCAGGCTGACTTCTGGGCTTATACGTGCATCTGCGGCCAGGGCTTCACTGGACAGAACTGTGAGGTGAGAGCGTGTGTGGTTGTGCACAAATCCATCGCACGTCTTTACAGTGTGAAGGAGAGTGCTACAGTACGTTGCTGTGGCAACAGATAGGAGAAGAGGAGAGGCGGCTCTGAGTGTGTGTGTGTGTGTGTGTGTGTTAGAGGTAAAGATCACAGCATAAATGCATGTATTGCTGTTAGATATGGTCTGCAGTGTATTTCTACACAAAAGAAGCAAAAATCATTCTCAGTCTGTCACCTTTTTTACTCATTTTGCTAGTATGCAGCGTTGACCTCCTTGCATGCGTTCTGTTTTATAACGAATCACTATGGGACACTGAGGCTTTCTGTGGTGGGTGATGCAAGCTTTATTTGAACCTCTAGGTGCATTGTGGTGCAAAGATGGGCCAATAGATCAGTAACAAACAAAAAAACACTCTCTTAATATATTTCTTGTTTTCCAGGAAAAATCTATACTACTTAAAACAGTAAACATTTATGTTAAAATAAGAATAAACATACTAATAAGAATGATATACTTGCAGAATTGTTTTCAGTGAATATATTTTAAAATGTTTATTATCGTATTGCTAGGTAAGATGATTTTTCCTCTTTTTGAAAGAATAAACCTTTCTAAAAAATGTTGTTAGTTTTATGTGTAAAACAAAAAACTTTTTCAATGAGACATATCCAAAGATATATTTATTATTATTATTATAAAGTAAATTAAACTTGTAACAGTAAGCTGTAATAATATACTTGTTTTAATACAGTTTTTTTATATAATATATTGTATAAAGAAATTATGTTTGAAAATGTCTTAATATCTTATGCAATGTTGCCTTTAAAGATAAATCTATCTATATGTATATATGTATGTGTATATATATAGAGAGAGAGAGAGAGAGAGAGAGAGAGTTAACTATAACTATTAAAAAACTTTAACCATTACTTTAAATAAAATAAACTTTAATGGAAATAAAATATATATATAAAAAAACTTAATCTTATTTTATTTCAGCTAGTTGCCAAGACATAATTTCTCTTTTTTTTTTTGTTAAACTGAGGTATTAAAAATAACTCAAATTGCATATACTGAAACTAATAAATACTATATAGATATATAAAAACACTAAATAAATAAAAAGTCTTTAACTAAAATGAAAAAAAAAAAATCTAATTCAAATTCTTTACAAAAACTATAATAGTATGTCAGTGATACTAAACACTATATTTTATTTTATTTATTTTGAAGTTCATGTGGTTAAATGCTCACAGGGAAAGGGTGAGGGCCTTTGTTTTAAAAGGTATTAGTCTCAGATTTGTTGTTTATTGTCTGTAGACGCACATCAGAGTTAATACATTAATGGGAACAAAGCCTGAATGTGAGTAGCACAGCTAGACACAATTACGGCTTCTGACCTAAATAACACCAAAGCTTTGCTGGATTCAGAACAGAGATCCACAGAAGAGCTGTCTCACTGTGTGCGCATGCATGTTCACTGGACAACAGGTGGCACTCATCAAGTTATGAAAATTGTGTGCGGTTGCATCTCGTTGGTGTTTGCATGCCGTTCTTGTCTTCGTCTAATCTCAAGTGTGAAGATGCATCTTTCTGCATGGTGAGACAGACATCATGATGTCCTGTCCTTTCCTCAACCTTAGTTAAAGCTTGCGTCTAAACCTGTGTCCCATGACATCATACTGCTCATTTCCATCTCCCCCAATGCAGCCAGAAAGGATGCTGCTGCATGATTGGTTTATGCACTGACAAGATTCACCACGATTGGTCGAAGAGGCTTGAAGTCATTGTGATGTCACTCAGTGTCCATTTCCCCAGGCAAGGCTGGTGTTCTTCAGTCACCCTGTAATGAGACTTTATTAACTGCTGCTGACATGACTGGATGTATGCGATCCAGTATGCGAATTTGTTTTTGTAAACACTGAGGAAGAGATGAACTGGAATTATTTGATATAATAAGTTAATATACTTTTGCCCTTGAGGAGCTCACTTTAACCTCTTAACCAGCATCTGACGCAGAGTGATTGTGTATGAGTCATCTGTCCTTTCTGAGAACTTGTGTTCAAAAGGACAAGGATGTATGTGTTTTTGGATGTGCACAGTCACTTATTTACTACAGTAGGAGGATGCATACTTAGAAACCGTAGATCTGTAGGCTGGCCATATCATACAGGGTTGCTTATTTTAAGGGTCGTCGTGTTTTTCTTCTCTCCTCTTTGGTCTTTTGGCTTTGATTCCAGCTTGTTAAGCAACCATGGGGAATTCATTAATATTAAAGAGAGAGCTTGACTGACCATTGTTTCTCCAAAGCTTTCATCTTTGAAAAAACTGAAGATTCAAATACAAGCACACTAGCTGTATGTAGATTTGTAAGCCTGTAAGAGTGTGAGTCTCATTAAAGTAGTGATTTAAGGGTAGAATAAATGAATAAAATGAGAATTGAAGGGGTGAAAGGATAGATAGCTCAGTGAGGTAGATAGAGCGAGACATTCAGGAGAACAGAAAGCGGAGAGAGAGAGAGCACTAAATATGGAGGACATTTAAAACATTTTAAAAAAAATGCTCTTTATTTTTAATTTTTTTTGTCAAAAAAAAAAGGGAGATATTTAGCAGATATTAATGTCCATGCTGCACTTTTCCATTCAAAGTCAATAAAAATCATACAAAATCATACAGAAATTTAAATTAAAAAAATATATAAAAAATTACAAAAAAAATACATAAAATGAATCTTCTTATCTCACAACTCTGACTTTTTTCTAACAATTGCGAGTTTACATCTTGCAATTCTGACTTGTTTCTCAAAATTTCATGATATAAATTTAAAAAGTCATGATATTGCGTGTTAGAGAGTAAAAGTGAATGTGAGAGTGAATTTTTTCCTCAGAATTTTGAGTGTATATATATATATATATATATATAGTGCCTTGCGAAAATATTCATACCCCTTCATTTTTTTTTCACATTTTGTTAAGTTGCTGCCTTATGCTAAACTGCTTTAAATTACTTTTTTCCCACATCAGTCTACACTCCACACACCATAATGGTAAAGCAAACAACAGGTTTTTAACATCTTTGCAAATTTATTAAAAATAAAAAACTTAAATGATTCCATTGCATAAGTATTCATACCCTTTTCTGGGACAGTTGAAATTTAGCTCAGGAGCATTCATATTGCTTGTAGATGTTACTACACTTCAAGTGAAGTTAACCTGTGGCAAATTCAATTGAAAGGGTATGATTTGGAAAGGCACACACATCTTAATAAAAGGTCTAACAGCTGATAATGCATATCAGAGCAAAAACCAAGCCCTGAGGTCAAAAGAACTGAATGTAGAGCTCAGAAACAGGTTTGTGTCAAGCCACACATCGGGGGAAGATTTCAGAAAAAAAATCTGCTTCATTGAAGGGTCACAGAAGCATGTAGTCTCTGTTACCCTTAATGGAAGAAGTTTGAAACAACCAGGACTCTTACTGGAGCTGGCCTCCTGGCCAAACTGAGCAACTGATGGAAAAGAGTCTTGGTTAGAGTGGTGACCAAGACCATGATGGTCACTCTAGTTGAGCTCCATGATCATATATGCAGATGTGAGAAATCTAGAGATCTCAGAGTCCGAGAAACAAGAGTCTCTGGTCTGATGAACCTCAATTCCAAGCATCATGTTTGAAAGAAACCAAGCACTGCTCATCACCTGAAGAGTAGCATCCCAAAAGTAAAGTGTGCTGGTGGCAGCCTCATGCTGTAGGGCTGTTTTTCAGCGGCAGAGACCGAGGGACTCGTCAGAGTAGAAGATACGCTCAATGCACCAAAATATTGAGTTAGCCTTAATAAAAACCAAGTCCAGAGCACTCAGAACCTCAGACTGGGTAGAAGGTTCCCCTTCCAACAGGACAATGACCCTAAACACACAGCAAGAGTGGCTTA